GAAAAAACGAGGTCGTAATAGTTTACTACTGGATAGAGATGAAATTGTGCTATGGAGGAGGGATTATTTAACAAAAATTGGGAAATATAGAAATCAAAACAGGAAGATTTATTACCTTGATGAAACGTGGGTAAACGCAGGACACACTACAAGTAAAGTATGGGTTGATGATTCTGTAACTTCATCCAGGAGGGCCTTTCTAGATGGACTGTCCACCGGATTAAAAAATCCAGCAGGTAAATACGAGTAATAGACAACAATCGGATGTTTTTCAAACCTTGGGAACAAGGTTCTAAACATTAATTCCAGGGGGCAGATAAAACATATTACAAGTAACAAAACTTTTATAACTTTCGATAAAATGCGTGGATGTTTTATTGTCATTTTCATTTGTTAGAACTTTTTTAAGCCATGTTTTTATGTGTTTTCGATATTTCAATAATTTTTTAATATAATCTTAAAATAAGTCGAATATTATAAACTTAAAAAAAGTTACTAAGTTTTATATTGTGTACCGTTCCTAATATTTCTAATCATTTTAATTCATACTTTAAGCTTTATAAAGTTATAATTTGTTAATATTAATATTTGCGCGTATTTCAGGTTCCTGATCATTCATTTTTTAAAGGTTTATAACTTTAAATTAAATTGTGAAGCGCTGAGTAATTATACGACGTTCAATATGACTAAATAATCCCAATTATAGCAATCTGATACTCATGTCTCAATGTTTTTTCGCTGAATGTGATGAAAACATTTGAAAAAGGTTCGCTTATTGAAATAAATCTACACCAGTTAGTACTTCGATTTCCAGGTAAAGGGAAAAGGCTCATTATCTGCCATATAGGCAGTGAGGATGGATTTGTTGTTGACGGTCTGTGGTGCTTTGAGTCTAAGAAAACTGGAGATTACCACGAGGAAATGAATGGCGAATCGTTTGAACAGTAGTTTTCAAAAATTTTACCGAACTTAGAGGAAAACGCAGTAATTGTGTTGGATAATGCGCCTTATCATCCTCGAAGAATTGAGAAGGTCCCAATAACAACTCCAAGGAAAGTTGATGTTCAAAATTGGCTCCGCTCGAAAAATATCAACTTTGAAGAAGCAATGCTGAAAGTACAATTATTAAGAATTCTCAAGGATCACAAGGCGGAATATCAAAAATACGCCATTGACGAAATAGCAGCAAGTCAAAATAAAACTGTGCTCCGTTTACCTCCAAACCATTGCGAGCTCAACCCATTGAGCTCATATGGGCAGAGGTTAAAAATAATATAGCTAAGCACAATACAACTTTTAAATTTTGTGACCTCAAAGGACTTTTCGAAGAAGCACTAGAATTAATAACAGCGCAAAAATGGGAAAACTGTATTAAGCACGTGAAAGACAAAGTTGAAAAGAGAATGTGGGAACTGGACAATATTTTAGAGGAACAAGTCGAGCCATTCATTATTGACGTTGGTGCTTCAGGCAGTAGCGATGATGAAAGCTCATCTTTCCAATAAAAGATGTCGTTCATCAAATTCGGTAAGTTATAAGTAATTATAAAGCTACTGTATTTTTTAATTAATTATTGACATTTTTGAACCCATTTTGGCAAAACCTATTCAAGAATCTACTTTCTGACAATGTTCAACCATGCACATTTTTTTACGTTTTGAACGTTTTAATTTGGTTACATATTTACCTAGAAATCAAAAAATATACTAATCAATATTCTAAAAGCAATTTTAAGAGATATACGATTATTTTTAATTTAGGCTAATTTAAACGCCATTTTGAGATTATCTTCGACTGTATTTCACCAAACATCAGGCGGCATCCGAAGCTGGAAATCGAAGCGAAAATTTTGAAACCCTTATGTATATTTACATCATTATATATTTCTTACCCCACCCCCACATGATCCTATATCCATCACCAATCGTATACATATCGAATTGTGCTAATTTACTACAAAGTTACGCAAAGCAGCATCTACTATCTAAAATATGTACTGCGTGACTCTTAATACGTCCCTGCCGAATGTTACAGCGTTCGATGATCACGTGGTCTTGTTTATGTCCGGTCTATCTCTCATCTGAATATACTGTAGTTCGTTTCGCGCCTACTATAAGTAAACCTGAAGTGAATGTCAGCTAGTTCAAAAGTGGCAGTTTATAGGAAAACCTACACACTGTCATAAAAAATCGATATGTCACTTTTTGTGCTACGTAATACAGGTGAGGATTAATTTTTAACAAACTGTTTAAAAGGTACGATTCTGTTAGAATTCGGATATTGCTTTTGACTTTAAGAGACTTCAAATTATAAACGATGTACTATCTGTTGTTCCTGTAGGCTGTACGTACATTTTGCAATTTAACAGTCACGGGGATTATAGCAGGAAACAGGTTGGAAGGAGTGCTGAGAGGTATTTAAACCCCTCCGCAAGTGATATGTTGATCGAGGCCTTTTGACACATATAATTTCCGATGTACCTTTGGAAATTGTGTATAAGTTGGAGTTGTGGATTTTTGTGACAATCAGTTGAAAAACTTCGTGCCTTGTGCGGTTTCGCGGGTATCGTCAGCGTTAGATACGGTTATGCCGTCTGAAATATTTACACTTTGCTTTCTTCTATATCACAAACGTTTTTCATCCGATTTTTTTTCAACTTTTCAGTACCTACTATTTTTACTATCTTGGTTTATCTTCTGTGATAAGTTTAATATTAAAGCGGCAATGAATGAAAAAATCATCCATACTCCAAAATTGACACCACAGTTATTACCTAATGGATCGTGATTCGCGGTATCGCTCCTTTCAAACAATTCATTCAAATAGAATCCTGTTTTAACACATCAGCTATCAATGACTGACATTACATACCTACTTTTAACTTGCTATTTAGCACTATCAGTCATAAGTTCTATTAGGTTTGCCTGACACGGAGTGCATCCAAATAAATAAGATATTCATATTCAATAATTTTTTTATATCATATAAAAAAGCGCGTTGGCGTTCAATGTGCTGAGTGCTCGTATCGCTAGGATCGATCCCGCTTTCGGGTATGTGAATCGGAATCAAAACCATGGGACTCCATGAATATTCCTAAGGTGTCGTCTAGCCGAATTTGGGCTAGAAAATTGGTCATTTGGCCTACCAGTATATAAATAATAAATTCTACAAACAAAATTTAGTCAGTGTACGTAAGAAAAAGTCGGATTAAAATACTAGATATTAAAATACATAACATGAAGACAATATCCAGATAGCTGTAGTTGCAATATACCAAAAAGCAGATTATGCATAAGATATATTGATTATGCATTTTTGAATCAATGATCAGATGGATTTGTTGTGTAATAAATAACTGTAAATTAATATCATTCTTCATGCAAGGAGTAATGAGATGTAGCCCAATATACAATGTAGGTGAAGGTAATTTATAATGTCACCTACTTTAAGATTTTAAGAACTGTTCTACCTTTCTGGAAAATCCATGTTCGTACATTTAACGATCATTTTATTATTCTAAGGCTATGTTGAACCTGACTGCATCATCTCTATTAGTAGGTATTGTTGACTCAAAAAATTGGCTCCTAATATTTAAAACTAAATGGTATAGTTTATTATGAATACAAGCAAAACATATTTTTAGGTGGGCGTCACTTTACAGAGCAAAACAGTTTTCCTTTGATGAAATTTTAAAGAAAACACTGGGTGTCAGGGTGTGTACCGCCCACTTAAATGAAAAGGAAATTTAAATCATACAGAAGTCACAGGTGTAACCTGGCACACAGGGATTTTCCGGTATAATGAAATCCGTTTAACGCCCTTATTCACCCCAGTTGTGGTTTTAAGCGTGTTTATTCATACGAAAACAAATCTATAAAAAAACAGTCCAGTTGTTACTATAAACAAATACACAACAATCGGCAACAACTGTGTTAACAATTAAAAAATTAACTTACCAGTAAATAAACAACGATACACACACAATAGTATATGGATTGTTAGCACTAACGAATATACTGTTCATTTATGGAAAAACAAAACACCGTTTCCCCTGGGTGATTTTCGAAAAAATACAAAAATCTATCAAAAGGAAATACACCACCCTTGGTCAAGACTTCCATGCTGAAATTCAAACTGAAACAGGCGCATGCGTTGACAATCAGCTGATTGAGATTTAGGGAAATCGATCAAACGTTGAATCAGGATTATCATTGTGTTGATCATATTACATAATCGTGACAAATAACATGGAACAGAAAAATGAAGGTTGCTCAACACACTCCAGCGCAAAAACGGGTGTTGCCAGGCTGACTCATTTATACAGCGAGCTAACAAATTTTTTAGGTCTCCATGATTTTGTCTGAGCGCTAAATGAAACCCTAGAAAAAGTATTACTTTTTACTGGAGGCGTTTAGCCACCTTGGTGGCCTTTTTCAAGTACAATTAAAAGCCAACCGTGGTGACCGAAGCGAGGTCAGTAAAAGGTAATCCAAGCATGACAATCATCGAATCCTATCAACATGAAAACCACAGGATAAGTTTTAGGTATTACATTAACAACTTTTATATTTGGGCATCTCACAAAGACAAGGTTTGACGCTAATGGGCAGCCTGTACTGATTTCTCATTCTGTGAGGTTTAAGTTTACTATTCGATTTCGTTTCGTCGTATTCAATCACTGATCTCATAATTGTGATTCTATTCCCTATGTGGTGGTCTATTTTCAGTACTGGAATGGTATGATACATCTGAACCACACTAATTTTTTTTTACTTATAACGCGTATTTTAATCACTTTCAACGTTACAGAATCTGCAGTGGCGCCCAAAACGCAAGTACCAATATATTCTTTAATTCTCCATAACTTCAACTGTAGTTTAAATTATTAACAAAAGGAATCGGAGACAAAAGGGACTATGGACTACATATGGCTTCAAAGTAGTCTTAGATTCTAAGGAATATGTGTACATATCACAACAGCGATTTTCTGTCAATTGGAGGGCGTTCAGGAAATTTCCATATATAACGTTCTCTGTTTACTGCTTAAGATTTATACATGTCTATCTCTCTCACATCTGTGGACAACCTAGAAAGCTCTGGCTCGTCCAGGAGAAATCTAGAATGTTTTCTGTTTTCATACTCTCCATCAGCTGTTTCTTTGACAGTGACATTTCGCAGTGTTTGATCTTTTCGGCAATAGGTGGACATTGTTTTCTAATTTCCAAATAAAGGTGTAAAAGGCTACTATCCGGCGTTTTGCAAACATTTTTGTGCGTAAGCCCGTGCAGTTTAGCTACAATCAGTCTTAAATATCTTTGTTATCAAAGTTAAAAGACCAGTCACTTGTATGGACCATTTAAACATGACTGGAGACACAACTCAACAGAACCCCCCGTCTGTCTTTGGTTTCGACCATTATCCACCACAGCTTCAAGTGAACTGGAACCAGTCTAATCCATTTGGGCTACCAACAAGCCCAACATGTCAATCTCAATTCAATCCTGGAATACCAGCAGGGATACAGTCGCCAGTTTGTTCTCCCCAACCAGTCTTCCATACTGCATTTAACCCCATAGAGGTACCCCAGCAAAATCAGTATGCTCCAACTGTAAGTACTGCCTGTAGACTCTGTATAACTCAGTTGTTTCCTATCTTACAGTGTTAACCTTGTTCAGGTTTTATATAGGACTATCCCAGAACCTTACTGCTTTTGCCAGTAGGTTATCAGAAAAGGTCCTGACAGCACAAGAATTTACTGTGCAAAATCAAAACATGTCTGGCCTAGTTTTCTGTAAAACTTAGACAAGGCTTTATCAAACACAAACTTGCCAAATCAGTTAAAAAGGCAGGAGGTAAAAGCTCGGTCTGAATTACTTGTAGTTTAGCCTCAGATCCCCATTCTGTAATACAGAATTCATTTTCTGTCAACTGATTCATATTTTGTGTTAATTTTCTTCAGACCAATGTAACATTTCAGTTCATTACACAATTCATTATTCACCTACCACATTTGATGTTGTCCTATTAAGGTGCACATCTACCGAGGTGAAGCCAAAATAAAGAAGTATAATTTTTTCACTAGGTTCCTTTTCATGTAACCAAGCCATATGGAGCAAAGTGATACAGTGTTTGATGTGAAAGTCTTCAAAGCAACTACTAAATTTGATGTTCAGAAAAATTTTGATTCAGTTCCACTTTATCAATGTATTCTTTACAGATTCAACAGCAAACTGGTAGTACATCATATATTTCAACTAGCCCTCCTAATTTAATAGGACATCAGTTTGGATTCAATGTGACATCGTTCTCACAACCTCAGCCAAGTTACTCATTTGGCCCTAAACCTTCTACAAGTAATAATGAGGTTGTACAGTTTCCATTTCAAGCTGCCAATCTTTATAGGTGTAAAAGGAAAACGGACTCTCCTCCGTAAGTATACCATATTCTGGTAAAAACTCAAACACACATAGGTATACAGTTTTCAGTATTCCATTGTAACATATTTAAGATCAAATATTCACGTATCTTTACTGGTTGTTGGTGGTTACATCATAATGTCATACTAAATAAGTATATGTAAACAGACTGACCTACTTTACCATGTGATGAATTATAAAACTAGAAGTTAATGGATATGGTCAATTTCTTTTAAATGTCTCTCAGACTAAACAAAAATTATATGGTTTTTGTAAAATGGGCCCCTAATTCCCATGTTAAGTCAAAGAAATATGCCATAAATCACTTGGCTTAGCTACAAAAACGTATTTTTTTATTTGCATCCAGACACTGAATTAGCATCCATAATCATATATTGCACCAACAAAAAATAAGCATTTCTGCGATACAGGAAGCATGGACACAAATCTGATACGATATCTATAGTAATGGACAAAAATATATAGACAAATATGAATATTTATCTAAATACCTTTAGAAAACGAATTCATACTTCATTGCTCCATAAACAAATGCGTTATTAGTAGAAAAACTAAATTCCTTGTTTTTACATTATCTGCAATGAACACAATACAAGTCTGAATATAAGCACTTTTTATGAGGGATAAAAATATGTAGACATATTCTTTTCAACATTAGTTTAGTACAGTTTCGTGTCAGAAGAGGATTAGTTTGTGTTCATCAAGTATTATGGAATAAGTTGAGTGATTTTAAGACCATGCCACGTGGTCCAGGAATTTCTTTCAATGTGAAAACTAAGATCATTAAGTTATACAAAGATGATCAACGTCAAGTTGACATTGACAAAAATTTGAGGCTGAAGCGTAAAGCAGTTTGGGCAATATTGAACAAATATAAACAAAAGGGTATCTTGGAAGCCTCTAAGACAAGTGGTCGGCCTAGAAAACTGCTAGATCAGTTAGATTAATAAAAGTAATTTCGTCCAAAGATCCGTTTAAAACCCCAAGACAAATAAAAGCCGAAATCGATACAAAAGGAATTGTCAGTGTTTCTATGAAAACTGTAAGTAGAAGGTTAAATGATTTGGAGTTATTTGCACGTCGCCCGAGTAAGAAGCCGCTAATCTCGAGGAAAAACCGTAAGGACCAATTACAATTTGTATGGTTGCATCTTGATGGGGCGTCTGTGACTGGAAGAGGGTATGTTTCAGTGAAGAATCCAAGTTCAATATGTTTGGATCAGATGGTGTTCATTACGTTAGACGTCCTGGTGGACAAAGATTAAACCCCAAGTACACTTTGCCCACTGTCAAACATGGAGGCGGGTCAGTTATGGTTTGGTGGTGCTTTTTGGGGTTTGGGATGGGACCTTTACATAGAATAGATGGCATTATGGATAAGTTTGTATACACAGACATACTAAAGCATGTCATGTTACCCTATATGGAAGACAATATGCCCTTAAGATCAATCTTCCAGCAAGATAATGAACCGAAGCACACTTCAAATCTTGCAAAGAAATTCTTTCTGGATGAAAAAATACCAGTTCTCAAATGGCCTTCACAGTCTGCCGATATAAACGCCATTGAAAATCTATAAGAATACTTAGTTAAGCAAATACGAGATAAAAATTATTTAAACAAGTATGAACTTTTTGCCACTTTAGAGCAAAAGTGAAGACAGATTGATGAATCCTATATCAAGAAACGTCTACAATCTATGCCGAGACGATGATTGATAATAACAGTTATGCTACAAAATATTAACAGAAACATGGTTGGTTTACTATAATTCAATGAACTTTGCTTCTTTTTTCTATAATTGTTTTGCTTTGTCTATATATTTTTGTCCTTCATTGTTCCAGTTTTTTCAATTCATTTTTTATTGAAGGGATTCTAATGAATTTATTTATGTATAAGTGAGTATTATGCTATAACGAATTATGTATACAGGTTGGTTTATTAATAAAACAAGTTAAAAAAGAAATACAGTACAATAGTAATTTGTCTATATGCTTTTGTCCATTACTGTAGATTGATGTAACAGCAATTAAATTTGCATTTTATTGAAAGTAATAGTATCCAACTATTGCAAATCAATATTCTGCTAGACAAAATCTTTGAGGATAATAAAATTACAGACTGCTTATTTTTAACAAACATCAAGTAAATAATTTACTTACTGTTAACAGGAACATGTCACACACTCTCTGGACAGTAGAACAACTACACAACCACACAAATGCATGACACTTTTGACCCTTTTCTATAATTAAAAAAAGCAAAGTGCAAATTTCAACGCTATTGGAAAATAACCAATAACCAGTGTGTTTTTCTAATAATTTGGCTTAGTGATCATACACACTATAGAGTGACAAAGTCAGTCGTGAGAACAGGTTTCCATCAAAATTGAGACTTTAGTATACTTTTTATGTGGGTTTCCCACCATCATAAGAAATAATAATGAGTAGGATGAAATGCTTAATTATTATTGTTCTGAAACAAACCTGGTCCAAAAATATTATTTGTTGAAATCGCAGGATACTATCTGAATGCAAGCTAGTTTGTTAACTGGGACCTCGGTTGGCCGCGTGGGTCAGAGTGTCGTGCTACTGATCAGCCGGCCGGCCGGGCCGCGAGTTCGAATCTCGCCTTCGCCATGGATGTTGTGTGTTTGTTTTAGGCAGCAGCGGTGGCCGCAGTAGTAGACCCTTCGGTCTCCTGATCAGCCGCCGTGCGCTGTGCGGGTTCGAGTCCCGTCCCAGGAGAAATGTTTCTCTTGGCCATGGATGTTGTGATTGTCCGTAGGTGGTAGATGGTCTCTGACTGTCGAACGCGGAGGTACCACCCGGCGGTTCTCGTAGGCGGAGCCAGAATGTGTGCATGTTGCATGCACACGTGTTCCCTCGCCAGAGTCCGTGTGGCGTCCCCCCTTTCCCATGTATCCCCCATAGCCCCACGGTACCCAATGGGTGCTTAGGCCTTAGGCCTTCGTGGTAGTTGGAGTATAAAAAAAAAAAAAAAAAAAAAAAAAAAAAATTAAATGCTGAAAATGATGTGACCTATTTGCAGCTGCTTTTCTGGACACAATGTATATTAATATTTTATCTACAGGCTTCAGCCTAGCAAGCAACATGTCACAGAGGAAAAGATGGCAGAGCACATGTCCAAATTGCACATTAACTCTGAATCAGCACCAAAATCAGAGACAACAGAGAATCAAATGAAGAGACTGTACATGTGTGAAGAGATGAGAAAACTACAGACTGAACCTATTTTGCCAAACTCCATCATTCACAGGTAAGTCCAGAAACCAAAGCATCTTCTCTTGGAAATTGTTTGTTGTTTTTCAACACTAAAGTAGCCATGTTTCTGAAAATAGTTACTGTGACATCAGTCTGGAATAACCTAATAAACTGAGTAATCATAACTTTCTAGATTTTTCTTGATGGCTCCATATAGACATATGTGAATTTTTGGTATATTGTGTGACACCATGACATTCATGAATCTTTGGGAGGTGTTAAGATGGTTAGAGTCTGCAATTTAAACACAATATGCTTATTGATCTTTTCTGCAAATGAATTACAGAATGTCACAACCATGTACAGCATTGGTTCTCTGGAGACCTCCCAATGCAAGACCATTGCCCCTTGATGATGAAAACCAGAATAATAACAACAATGAGTCTGAAATGGGCGACAACTCGGCAAATGTGACGCTCCCTACTATGGAGATGGATAGTTAGCTCAATGGAAACAAATGGTGGGAGAGGTACCTTTAAGTCTGATGCAATTTCTTGTATGTCATACTAATACTATGATTGGTGTAGGTTGTCCACTGGTTCTGTTGTACTCTTTTCTATACCTCTATTAAACCACTTTTCCTAAGCAGTGTAGTACAATTTTGTATCCAGATGATTTATAACAAAGTGACTTAATATGTCAATAAAATTAACTTTTTGCATTTACCTGTGGGTATCCTACAGGAAGTAGTTGTTAGTTAGTACCAAGGACAACCGCTGCTGTAAACCAAGCAAATACTATTTTCTAATCGTATTTTATATTATAGGTGACAAAGTGTACCCTATTTCACGAGTATCCATCTTGACGTCTACTGATGTGAACAGCTGATCAGCAAGTGACATGGCAATAATGAATCTGGTGTAAATCTAGTAAAACTTGTTTGTGGCGTTTTGTTTTTTGTATGTAAATGAACTTTTCTAAATAAAAGAGCTGTTAGCAAGTACAAAAGAAATCTGCTAGTATACAAAAACCAAAACGAAATATGGCTCTGACTACCTGGCGTTCACGGATCCGTCCTGTGCTGATATGGGGAAATTTGGGATATTATTAGACAATCAGCTGTCATTCTACCGTGATGAATACTTGTGAAATAGGGTATAATGATATTGAAGATATATCAATTGGTTGTTTGACATCACTCCAGTACGTACGTAGCACGTCTAGAAGATGATTACATGAAAAAGTTTTTAACGGTATTTTGTTGATGCTATTTACTCAAAACAAAAATTGAGCATTTTCATAATTGTATATTGTAAGTCATTTGGAAAGTTGTCTTATCATTGTTCAAAAATTTGCGATAATTTTTTTGTATGTTATTAAAAAAAATACTATAAATTTAATGCATTTCAAAGCTTCCAAAATGTTTTTGCTGGTCTTGAAATCAATTCATTGTGTTGTTAACTTCTCAATCAATAGTTGGTTTCTGGTGCTTGATTGTTTTGCCTTTCCATTTTTACTTTGTTGCATTAAATCCCATTCTCACATTAACAAGTCTTCTCACTTTCTTTCTTCAGTTGTTTCAGATTTGCAATGCATCTAGGGTAAAAGTGGAATAGCAACGATATCAGTACTTTTTTAAGAATGTTTTGTACTTTTTATTTTTAGTGTGTACATGACTTATTTTTTTTAATAAATCGTTTTTATGCTATCAGATGTTTTATTGCTCAACACCATTTTTTCATGTGGATAATTTTTTTGTTCAAATGGTCTGGGGGGTCGAGTGTTACCTCATTTTGGAGATCCTGATGACTACTTTATGACCCTAGAAAATAAAAACACCATCTTCGAAATTGGCGACGTCGCCGGGTTTCAAAGTTGTGCATTTCTGTACATTGAGTTGCTTTAACTGAAAATGCTATGTTAGATCGATCGTTTTTTGGTAGTATCTATCTGAATCTGTAATGAAATATGAATCGTTCCATTCGAAAAATGTCCAAATCTGTTGTTTTATACTAAATGTTTCGGATTTTATTGCACATTCAGATCGACCAACCCAAGACCAGATTGTTATTACATACCATAATGTTTTGATTAGCTGTTATAAGAGATTCAATATGCTCAACTTTGGCTTTGTACATTGTAAGTCTCATGACTGTTAGGAATTGTGTCTGTTCCTTCATCTATCTTGATTTCATTTATTTATTTAATATGTGAAAGGACTTCCCATATTTTCAAAATAAAAGGAGTCTAACAAATGTTTATCGACCATTTTATATGCATATAACCATTCATTTACCCAATGGATTAGTTTATATACAAAAAACAAATATATATTTGAAATTTTAAACTACTATTGCCCTTTTGAATACTAATGATCACATTACAGGTAAGAAAGGTTTGTTCAAAAATGTTGTACATAATGTATTTGTAGTCCATTTTAACAACAAATATTAGCATGGTTTAAACCTCCTAGATTGCTTCATCAGATTAACTTTCTTCTTTGCTTCTTCAAAATTCTTCCTCAAAGTAGCAATGTGTTTCATCTGAGATTCCCTTATTTGGAAAGTATAGAAATTCTTCAACTCTTTCTTCTTTGATGATTTGGCAGTCTTCTCATTCAATTTTGCTTCAAGCCTTTCCTTTCTTGAAAGGCCAGGTCTTCTTCCACCTCTTGTAACTAGTGTCCATCCTTCCTCATCTGTAACTTCCTCTTTTGATTGCTTTTCTTCATCTTTTTCCACTTGTTCATAACTTGTTATAAATGTCTGTATCCTATTCAGCAGCTCATCAGAATTGCATATTGAATTATTATACTCCTCAATCCAATTGGTAAGACCTATTTTTAAAGGTTTATCATGACTTGACATAGGTTTCAAGCTGACAAGTTTTAAGGCTGATAGAAGACCCTCTCGTTTTGAAAATACGATAAAACCCCTTTTAAATCCATCTTGTTCATCTTCGCTATCTTCTAAAATAACTTTGCGAATTTTACCTGCTGCTGAAAAAGCTTCTGCTAGGCTGACTTCTGTGGCGTAAGGGGGAACATTCAACAAAAAAAGAGTTTGTCCCAAGGGTTTATTGTCTTCTTTTACCTTTGTTGAATGCTCTTTTATGAAAAGTTCATGACCAGTTGTATTCTCAGAAGAAAATATGAGGGGTATAGCTTTAAACCCTCGTAAACTCATTTTCAATTTCGCAGGCACAAGTTGAGTTGAACCACAAAACCGTACTCGTTGACACTCCTTGAACCACGTGCGTTGTGTTATGACGTGTGTGATGTTGTCAATGATCAGCGTGCATAATATCCCAGACAAAGCCCGCTTATGTTAAATAATCATAGATCCATCGTGAGCTGGACGCCGATTATGTGATATAATCAGCAGCATTTGACATGTTTCCTGTCAAGGTGTCAAGAGCTTTGAAAAGTTGTCAACAAAAAATAAGGATTGTTTTTAATTCGTTAATGATTATAATGATGTCATTCCCTGTTTCTTTATTATTCATAGAATTTAAACTGTCACTAACAATAGTCGATAGTGCAAGTGAAACATTACATGCGGGTAATGTGATATAAGGGCGTCTACTCAGTGTAATTCGACAGAAGTCAAACAATTGTTACTGTAACAATCAACAGCTAGAATGTCTGCATTTAACGTGAAGCCTTCAAATGGCTGGATACACTCAGACAAACTGATAGCAAACCAAGGGGCGACCTATGCAGTGAGATATGTTGGCTGTATGGAAATAAAAGTGTCCATGAAACAGCTAGACTTTAAAACAAGGTCTAGTGTAGCAAAGGAATGCATTAACAGAGTATGCGAAACCTTGAAGTTGAAAACAGCCGACAAGAAGAAGAAAGTAGACAAGAAAGTGCTCAGAGCTATTGCAGAAACCCCAAATCTAAGGTATGCAGGGTCAAATGTGAACCTGAACATATCCAGCATTAGTCTTACACTAACATCACTAGATACCAGTCAAATCATTGCTTCCCATGAAATGCCAAGGATCTCATTTGCTTCAGGAGGTGATGCTGATACTCTAGATTTTGTAGGGTATATAGCAAAAGATGAGAATGATTTGAGGGCATGTTATGTCTTGGAGTGTGGAGGAGGACTTGCGAAAGATGTGATTGCTACCATAGGACAAGCATTTGAGCTGAGGTTCCAGCAGTTCACTAATAAATCACCTATGATGTGTGATTTAGGCACAACCATGGGCAGTATTTCTTCTGCTATGGGTGGAGATGGTGATAAAGATTATTATAATGATTTGCCAGGGAAGGTCAGTAATGTGAATAATTTCAGTTTTTAAATAGTAAACCATAATGAAATAAATCAATAACTAATTCATAGTGACAGAAATTGTACCAAATGCCTCATACTTAATTTTTGACAAGCCAGTCGCCTCTAGTAGTACTCTGTGCTACTTATCTATACAGAGTGAGAAAATTTTTCGATACCTGGTCATTGGTCAATATGATACAAAGGTGTCATCCAGAGCACGACCCCCTTACAAAACCTTGATGCCGTTTTATATATCCAGGAGGGATTCTAAGAGCACCTCTCTAAATACTGTCTCCATGTTAGTAACAGACACATCCTGTGATAAACAATGCCATACAATATACAATATTCACAAAATAAGTTATTTCAAGTTGGAATTTTTTCTATAGTCGTCTCGCCAACATCTAATGCATGAAGAGCCAAAGACTTATCAAGTAATCTTTTAGGTTCCCCCTGATGTTGAACCCCCACCAGTACCTCCTCTACCTACAGTAGTTCTTCCATTTACAACTTTGCCACCTGTTCAGTCACCAAACTTGATTGACCTCAGCTCAGAGCTTAGTTCTGAAGCATCTCATGAGGCTGCTCAACATGAGTATGTTAATGATATTGTAGCTAGGGATAGGGACGTCTTTGACATGAAGCCTTTCACGCATTCGACTGCTGCTGCATTCTCGAATAAGGATCCTATTGGTAAGTATTTTGTTAATTTAATCATTGATTAACATATTCCACCAGAGAATACCCAATACAGTTGAAAGCTGAACCTGAGCGAAAACCGGCTTATGTACTGCGGCTGGACTCGCTACTCATGCTTACAACTGCTGGCCAAACATTTCCGTTTAGATTTCCAAAGAGTTACAGCAGCTTTGCACAATCGATTAAAACATTGATGAATTTCTCCAAGGTGATAGGTAGAGAAATTACATGTTTAAATTTATTCAAATTAATCATACCAACACATAGTAGCTCCCTATAATACCATCCTGACAGAAACAATACAGAAACATAACCTATATATTTATAATGAAGCTAACCAATAACAACTTACATACGTCTTTTTCCCGAGTATCTGTTACGGTAGAATGACAGCTGACTATCTAGTATTATTTCGAAATTCCCCATATCGACACAGGACACATAATTCAGACGGATCCATCAATGTCAGGTAGACAGAGCCATATTTTGTTTTGATTTTTTGCACACTACAGATTCATTTTGTACTTGCTAAAAGCTCTTTTATTTACAGAACTTCTTTTGCATACAAAAACAAAACACTTCAAACAAGTTTACTAGATTTACACCTGATGGATTATTGCCAACGGTGCAGACTAACACAAAAATGTCACTTGCTGATCAGCTGTTCACCTCATTAGACGCCAAAGCGTGATGGATACTCGTGGAATAGGATATACTGACTGCTTCTGTTGAAATATTAAATCGTAAATTAAAACCAAAGCGCCAAGCTAAACTGAAAGGATCATAATTTTAATCTCAAATCACAAAACATGAACGCGTCAAATAACAAAAATTGAATTCCCCCAAAAAAATCACGGAAAATTAGAACAAGCTCTAATCTGGCAATTTATTAATGACTTTATTGTCGTGAAGAAATTGACAACAACTTTTGTTTTCACGGTCCAACTTTTCAAGGTTAAACAATTGATTTATTGAATTGTGTAAAGCGAAAAGCGACTATTACAGCCGCGCTCCGCGCCCTCTTCCCCTGTCGTTGCTAGGCAACGTGGTCACGAAACATATGGCGCACTCTTTCTAACAGTCATACTTATAGAAATCTTAAAGAGAAACAGATTTTGGCTAGTATTGAAGGTATCGACGACTGTTTTGTGTTAACAGAGCCACCTTTATGACTGTTGCCGCAAGGTATGGCATTTTCTCTTCCATCTTTGAAAAATTCTGAGAATACAAAATCTGACGAATAATTGCGAGGGCAAATGATGAATGATCTTTACTTTGAATATTGGTGTGTTAAGGAGTACCGCCACTATAGTGGCATGAAAAGTTTTTTTTTTTCATTCAAGTATCGGTAATATTGGGATCATAAGCTGGAAATTTATTGATAGCGTGCCAAAAACTTAGTATTATGTTTGACATTTGCGAAATGTGGCCAAACGATGCGTTTCCGAATCACCCAATGGACTGGAAATCGCATGGCCGATGGTGAGCATTTTTACCAAAAAACTTTCATCTTTATGTTGAAGGTTATATGAATAAGCAAAATTTCCACAACAGGGGGTTTTTGGCTACGGTTTTTGTTCGGCGGGATCATTGGGCCATTTTTCTCCAGAAACGAGCAAGAACTGCCGATTCGGCACGCTCAACGAATTTTGAAAAATTGGAGAGAATGACATGGACGACATTTGGTTTCTACAGGGCGTTTGCGAAAATCGGATGATCAGACGAAATTCTGATGTCATTTGGCCGCCTCGTACCTGTGATTTGAACCTAGTTGACTATTTTCTGTGGGGAGCCCTTAAGGATACATGTTAACCATTCAGAAACAATTGAGGCCTTTGAACACAAAATCTGCTGTTTGAGAAACTTAAGCCGAAGCAAACGAAAAGTACTTGTGAATGGAGTAACTCGGATGATATACTGTCTGGCCAACCGCGGTAGTCATTTGAATGATATTGGGTTTCATCCTTAAGTATTAAGATTCAATCTTTCCAATAAAACCATAAGCTTGAAGAAATGTTCATTTTTAAATCAAATTTTAGATATCCCACCTTATCATTTAGTTATCATTTCAGGAAATATAGAAGATGAAATCTGGTTCCATGGTCAAATCTCGAGGGCTGAAGCAGAGAATCTCCTCCAAAAAGATGGCGACTTCCTGGTGCGTGAATCGACAAACACTGTAGAGCGCCAGTTTGTACTATCAGGCATCCAGGATGGCAACAAGAAACATCTTCTTCTCATAGACCCTGAGGGTGTGGTAAGGACGAAGGACAAAGTCTTCACAAATATCAGTCATCTCATTGAATACCACTGCGAAAATGCCTTGCCTATTATATCTGCTGAAAGTGCTTTGCTGTTGAGGAATAAGATACCAAGGACTTCTTGAGTTTTAAAGAGTACTGGTGCAATAAGGAGGTGGAAGGTTGTGGGATAGATGTGGACCATTGAGTGTAACCACTTTTTGAAAATGGATCGGTGGATATATGCAAACTTATCTTAAACGTTATTTAGGCTAAACACAATGCAGAATCAATAAAGTGCGTGTACTATTGAATTTGAGTTATGTCACTTCTTATTGGTTGTGACTAAAGTTACGTCAAAATCACGCTAAGATGGGTATACGTAAATCCAGCATAACTGATTTGCGTCAAACGTAAAGGTTTACCATTGACTATCGTATTATACATGAAGATAACCAACTAACAGTACTATGTTCGCGCGTCCGAAAATTTATCCAAGATGAAATGAGATACCGTAGTGTCATCTATAAGCATCTTTCACAACCATGTATAATAAGAAATGTACTTTGAACAGGTTAGTGTCTCATAGATGGTGCTGTAGCCCACTATATATATGAGCATAGAGCAGCTTTAGCACCATCTATGAGGCACTAACCTTTTCAAAGTAAATTCTCATAGATGTCGCTACGGTATCTCATTTCTTCTCGGATATTTTTTAGGGCACGCGAATATAGTATCATGTTAACTATCCTCAAATAGAAGACATTGGACAATGAATTTAGCAAAAGAAGACATGGAGATCTGATAATAAGTATAATAAATTACAAGACATTAATAATTATTCATATATGACAGAAAATGATTGATAATACCTAGTATGCTAGCTTTCAGTGTAATGATACTGCAATATTAGTTAACCATTATGTATAATTGAACTGGCCATTGCAAAAACCTCATAAGTCAAACACAATTTGATTTTTTCAGGAGACAATAAAGACGGTGGCATTGATAAATAAACCAGTTTACAACACTCTTCTACAGTATTCGAGTTCTAGGTGACTGAAATCTCGAATTTCCTTTACAGTTTATTTATAATAATAATGGACAAGGCCTGAAAAACTGTTTTGGACTTGTTTAGTAGGAAATAGGGTTAGATAAACTTGAGGGAAAGGATCATATTAATCATATTTTTTATTGCTTATTATTGAAATTCACACCTAAAGATTGGCAGAAAAACATGTTACATGTGTTTTACACGGAAGCCGATTAGGGAGAAGCCTAAATACCAAAGCACAGCGGTTGCTATGAGGAGTTTAAAGAAACTTTGTTGATCCGATTTTGAACTGCCTATTACTAGAATTGGGAAAAGCCTTTTCAGATAGATTTTTCTACAATCTTGATACCCTAGGGACAAGGAGCGGTCGTATCGGCCGGTTCTGCATACACGATGTTTTAATTTTTTGCATGATTTAATATCTTAGGTACGTAGGGGAAACACGGGCGAAGGAAAATTAAATTCCTTGTTTGACATCCAAACCATGAATCGGCCATCGTGAAAAAGTACATAAACTTATCGTGCCACCTTCTTCAAAAATCAGCAATTGGCTGTAGAAAAAAAACAGGTGCGCCTATTGTACTACCAGGTATCACAATGTACTTCTTAAACAAAAAATTGATTTTCCAAGGTAGATGTTGGGCGATGGGCGTGTATTTCCATTTCTATACTATTCATACGGACTGCGTTTTAAAATATTTAGTGTAGGTACGTTTAAAAAACCGAGGGAAACTGCAGGTTTTCGCACTTGTTGTGAATACGATGATGGTTTCTCGCAGTTATTTGAAATTCTTCAAATTCGTAGGATTCGTAGTCCTAGATAACCACAACAAAATTGGAGTAGATTGGTCAAGTAGTTTTTGAGAATTTCTAATTGTTTATCCCAAAACACCTGTCTTCTGGCCATCACTACTACTTTATTGAGCAATATACAGGGTTAGTGCAAAGGGCATTTTATAGCCAAATACACTAGTTTACCTTGCCTATATGAATCGCAACCCATTCCGGAAGACAATTGTTAAAATTATGTTTTGGGGTCAACAATTAGGAATTCTCAAACTACTTGACCAATGTACTTCAATTTTGTTGTTGTTATTTACAAGTATGAATACTACGGATTTGAAGAATTCAAGTAGTTGCGTGAAATTATCGTCGCATTACCAACATAATATTTTTGCTATTAGTCGGATCTTTTTACGTGTGGTCTCAATTTGTAGTTCTCATAAATACCTAAAAATCTTATATGAAGAGTTTTTTCGTTATTGTCAACACTTTCGATTGAATCCCAAAAATCATGTTTTCTCATTCTTTGTTGTCAAATAAAAAGTTTTCCCTCAAAAATTGGTGTACCCATTTTCTGCCACCATGTTTTAAATACCCCCTCGAACAACTTGCATTAATAAAACCAGACTTAACAATTATTTCGGGGAAATCTGCTGATATGATTAGACTATCAGTGGCTTTGATAGGACATAAGAAAACTCTTGAATAGGTGATATTGGGCAAAGCAGTGGGGATACGGTATTAGCCCGTAACTTGATTTTTGTAGCTAGTAAATTAAAAATTGTTATTTTGAACCACTCAAGCACCCTTTATCGAATAGTGCATGCAAATACCATCTAAATCCCGAGCTTACGTTGTTTATGAAAAAAACCTCGATCATTTGAAGGGGATGGAATTTGTATTGTCTTCAGAGGTGTGTACCCAGAATACGCATCTACCTTTAATGGACTGTGTTCAATACAAAAGTTTATTGGAAAAAATGGACTTGAGTAGTTTTTGAAATTGCCGATTCAATTATTTTTTCCGTGGTGTCAGGTATGTACGCACAAGTTTTGTTTTTATATATAACCCTATATCTATAACTCAGAGCCAGACTAGGTTAAGTCCAAATAATTAATTTTTCAGTAGAGGCGATTGGAGATTCCCTAAACGCAAATTTGACGATTGCCGACACTAGGTATCATAATGTTGTGAAATTTTGTATACGAGTATATGCATAATGGTTAAATAAAAGCAAGCATTTTGGTGAAATGCTGATATTTTGTAATTTTTTTGTCATTGTTCTGGCTTAACCTAATTTGGTTCAGACAAAAAAAAAATGACTTATTACTATAAGTCCTGTTCCATGCAAAGTTGACTTGAATATCAGATAAGTTCATAAAAAAGAGTCAGGGTCCAAAACACCTAATTTCCGGATTTCACTTTTTCCTGGATAGTAATAAAACAACACGTTAGTCCAGAAAACTATATTTAACATAAAATAAATTTATATTTAATTAAACGATTTTAGAAAAGTTTCTCTAAACAACATGTAATTCAACTTTAACTTTAATAAATAAAATGAGTATACATAATTTAACATTTACTTACGTTTAATTAAAACTGAAATCAAAATTAAATTGAAAATACCAGAAATGATATTGGAGGTGATAACTTGAGTTATGTAAAAAAATAAAACATTTCTATTTTAGTCTGCCATAGAGCTGTAATACTCATACTTTAAAGCCTTTTTCAGGGAGGTCAAGCTAATGTTAAATAAATCTATATTACAGAAATTATTATGATTTTTTTGAGCCCTGACCAAAGGGGAATTAAAACCAAGATTGGTTCTACGGAACGGTATTCTAAACAGATGATAGGTTCTAAACGTTCTATCAGGAGTGTTAAAGTTCAAGTTTGCCAAAAGATCCGGACAGTCAGTGAGGCCATTCAACAATTTATGGACACAGCAAATGTCAGAAATCGTTCTTCTATCTTTTAAGGAAATCATATTGAACTGTTTCATAATTTGCGTATAATGATGATCTGTAACAGGTTGGTGAGTTTTATGTGCTAACATCTTCAAAAATTTGTGTTGAATTCTTTCTATCCTGACTATATGTACATTGTAAGACGGATTCCATATTACTGATGCAAACATCAGTTTGTTGTGTATATAAGCGTAGTACAATGAAAGAAGCGTTTTTGGGTTCGTAAATTCTCTGCATGTCCTGTTTATGAACCCTAGTGTTCTATTTGCATCATTTACGATGTGCTCTACGTGGGTGATGAATGAGAGTTTCTCATCAATGTATACCACTAGGTCTTTTACTACATGAAGCTTTTCCAGTTCTGCCGTCCCTATCTTATATCTGATTTTTAAGGTTTGAATCATCATGATTAATAGAGTTTTTCCGGAGATATGCAAGAAATAAAAACCCAAATATTCTCACATTATGGGGCTCCGGAAGTCGAGGCTTTGATTTTTGTATTAATCCTGATGCTATTTCGGCAGTATCTTGTAATACATGGTGTTTAAATATAGCATACATTTTATTTCTAAGCTCTAATGGTAGTATTGTTAAGAAGCATGCAAGGTAACATTGAAATGCATGTTTGCATGATCCCTCTGTATATCCCTGATTGTTTTCAATAAGTGGAGGTTCATTTATTGCAGAGATATAGTTTGCCAATGCCATTGTCCTTATGTCCCAACATGTAATTCAAAGAACGTTTGGTCAAAAATCAAAACATCACATCTAGTCACAATCACAAAATGTTTGTATGGCTTAAATTTTGATAAAATGCATTTTTTCCAACCACTTAATCAAACATTATGATACTTTGTTTCCTCCTCTTCCTGCTACAGCTTCATCCCACATCACACAAAAACTACTCTCTGTTGTCGTGTCATGTATAGTTAAATTAAATGTCCATAATTTAAGAGAATAAAAGCTTTGAGAATTATGTAGTTCCGGAGTGGGCAAACATTTCTGTAGATCAATCATAACAACCTTTTCTTGCCATAAGTTTTCTCTGGACTTTTTTTTGTCATTTGATTTGAGGACATATCTGTTATTTGCATCTGAAAGATGATGATCATATTCTGTTTGCAACCGTGCTCTTAATTCTAAGGAATCTGCTTCTTGTAGCTAAATTTTATATTTTTTATCACAAATATCGCATGTGTAAGTATCCGTGTGCTTAAAAGAAAAATTGAATTAATGATTGAACATTTGTGAATATAGCCATTATTTTCCGGTTTCTCCGCTATTCAAACCATTGGCCCTACAGTCTTCTAAGTACAAACTGTAGATTTTGCTGATGTTGAGATGGTCTTCTAGAAAACGTTTTCGTGTCTTTTCTCTAGAAGAGTAGAGACTTTCATATGTCGGTTTTTTGATATGTGTACCCGAACAGTTACGAACCTCTCTCTATTCGATTGATGACTCGGTTTCCTCTTTTGTCAGGAGTTACAATTTCACCTTCCTTCTTTTTGCTTATCGCGGTTTCCACTGTTTGATGTGAGATGGAAAGAGTATTTAAGAAGAATGTTTTACGTATCATTTCTGTTTTCCCTTAGCTGGCTAGTATAGGCATTTCGTTCTATCCCTGGTTCGTTTTATTGGAACCTGCTTAACTAAAGATGTAATGTATTGTCGCCTAATATTAACGCTTTTGCTGGTACTCAAAAAATTATTGTATATTGTCTTTCGAGCTTCATGGGAAATCTTCTTAATGCATGACAGCCTGCACATTTCAGTGCGTGGTTCTTTCACTCCCTTTGCCGCCATAACTCGACTTCCTCTGTCTGTGGTGTACCTCAACTCCAAAAGCCTCTTCCGTTTTGTCAAGTTTCTTTTTCCAATTTTTTTTTTATATGATTCTATTCTAACTTGAGGATAGAACTTAGCCCATTATGAATGTATAACAATACTTAGGGATATTAGAAGTGGTACACCCAGAAAAAATAATTTCTTCGACTTGGTTTTTTGGCAAAGAGGTAGTCTTACATCAAGAATGAAACGATAACATTTTCACAAATTTTTTTTGACAAGTAATGGGAATGAGAAATTAATAATGTGTGAACGACCCCGCAGCTGAATACATCCCTGTATACGTCTAGGCGTCGACAAAATTAGATCGATGTCTGGTTGTGGCACCTCATTCCAAGCAACTCGAACTTCGTTGATTAGCAGTGGCAGAGTCTGTGACAGATGGTGCAAAGTGGATAGTCCTCCCCATCATATCGCACACATGTTCGATGCGATTTAAATCCGGTGAACAGAGTGGCCACGGAAAAACATCAACGCCTGCTTCTTGAAGAAAGTCCGTAGTACGACGAACAATATGAGGACATGCGTTGTCTTCATGAAAAGGATATGTGGACGGTCCTGTAGATACGGCAGTAAAGTTGTTTGTAGGACATCATCACATAACGCGCAACAGTCTATTGCCTTGAACAAAGAGAAGGGGTGATCGGCTACCATAGGCAAGAGTTCCCAAGCCATTACTTCAACAGTTCTCTGTACATGCCTCTTAACATCAAATCCAACATCACTTCGTTCTCCACGGCGGCGGCTTACCCTTCTACGACCACCGTGCGTACATAGACAGAATCACGATTCGTCGCTGAAGATGACATTATGTCATTATGCCTCTCAATATTGCCGTTCCCTGCTCCAGTTCAAACGTTGACTATAGTGGTCCGCAGTTAGAGGAAGCACTAACCGTGGACGGTATGAAACAAGTCCAAAGGCTCGAATGCGGCGATAGAGTGTACGCATAGTAATAGGTCTACTTTCTTTTCCAAACCATTGGTCAGCGATCTGATGCGTAGTAGCAACGGTCTCGTAAGACTAGTTGTCTGAAGCGCTTATCTTGATTCTCTGTGGTACGCCTCGGTGAACCGGTTGGCCTTCTTCGTGTTCCTTTACCTTCTTCTACCCACACACGACACATGCGCATTACCATCATTGCAGTACAATTAACACGGCGGCCAAGTTCGCGATAGGACAAACCAACCTCTCGATAGCCAATAATTCTACCCCTGTCAAAGTCGCTAATATGGTGATAATTTGGACGTCTTCAAACTACAGGCATTTTGTTATGCTTAACACTAGTAAATAAAAGGGCAATAACTAAAAATGTCTCTACTACTCAGCTCTCAGAAACTGCTCTCTTCACAAAGACTAAGAGATAACATTTCAACAAAGGTAAACAAACACAAAGATAAAACGTTGGCATTGTTGCTACAGTATGCTTAAAAAAGTTTGTTTGTGGCATTTTGTTTTTTGTATGCAAATGAACTTTTCTAAATAAAAGAGCTTTTAGCAAGTACAAAATGAATCTTTAGCGTACAAAACACCAAATCTTAATCTGGCTCTGTCCGCCTGGCATTGACGGATCTGTCAGAATTATGTGACCTTTGCCGACATGGGGAATTATGAAACATTACCAGATAACCAGATGTCATTGTGCCGCGATGGATACTCGTGAAATAGGGTATGTGACGCAGTGACATAACCTTGTTCGAAATAAGACATCTATGTTACTTAGCATATAAAACTGCAAGTAGCAAAATTTGGACTTAACCTAGTCTGGCTCTGAGCTACAGATATTGTATTTAGTTTGCCATTAAAAACAGTTATAGTCGAGTTTTATGCCGACATAGTATTGAAGTCATTTTATGGTAGAACATACATATCGCCTCTGCTGGTGTATGTATTTATTTTATTGCATTTTTATGATTTGACACAAATTTATCCTGTAACAGTTATAAGATATGACAATATTCACACTGTACCTATTAGATTTGTATATAATAGGATGCTTGCAGAAGACATTACAAAAAAGTGATTTTCAGACTTATTTTCGCTTACGCGTTAATGAAATATATATGTATATGGAAATGCCATGTAATTTTAAATGACAAATAAAATATTGTGTATTTTCTAACTAGTATTTTTACCTACCTGGAACCCAAGTTGCATATCTCGCTGCCAGGATTGAAGTGTGCTTAAAAAAACATTCACATAATTTATATTTATTACTTTCAATTTTGATCACATTTCATCTTTGGGTAATCTTAGTTCCCAGATATAAAACACTTAAACACATATCTTTCTTAAATTACTAGACCATCCCAATATAAAGTTTTATAGTAACTAGGATAGCCTCAAATTAGAGATTCGAATATTCTAGACAATGCAGTGTCAAAATACAAAAAGATGACTGTGCTACACACGCACTATACTATAAATACTTACTACACACGGTATATAATCCTAGATTAAATAGACATCTTTATGTAAGCATATCGAAATAAAACTGCACAAACATTTACTCTAAGATCCGGCAACTCGAATCTACAGGTATCCGTTTTTTCTAAAACTTGATTTTTATGAATGATAGATAATAATAGAATAACATTACAGTGGGGCAAAATTTAGCCGCAGTACCTGTAATTAAATACAGGGTTAGTACGCATTGTGTATAAAAAAGTTAAACACAAATATTGTAGCCAACAGTATCATCTCTACTTGGAAGGGTGATCCACAAGTCGTGACCAAAAATGAACCATCGTAGACAGGACCGCATTTTAAGGGGGTCTTCTATATAAGATTTTTTCCTCGAGAGCTTCATTAAAAAGATACGGGGTGCTGAAGTTTAAAAATAAAAACCATTTTTTTTAATATATTCAAAACCGTCTACTGCAATGAACTAAAGTTTGGTATGTGGATATACCTAAGTATTGTCCACACTAAAAAGTATTTACTTAAAATTAACGTGCCCTAGTCGCGGAGATGCAGGGGATTAGTGTCATTATTTTTCCAAATAAAGAGAGTACGCCACTGTTTTTTCCAAAATGCCCAATTTTTAGAATGTTGCCTTCAATTTGCTACAAATAATTACTCCTGTGTTTTTTCCTAAACCATTCTGTTTCCGAAAAAATACAAGTAAAACAAATTAGATCATTCATGAAGAGCCGAGATACAATTAGTTTCAAAATAAAATAGGCCTTGATACCAACTTGACGTTTCCTGGGACATAGTTTGTCAAAGTTATACGGTTATTATCCTTACTGCTACCATTTTCTTGTAGAAGTCAACTCAAAAGTTTCTTTCATTCCATTTTTGAGTGTTGTGAAATGGAATTTATCAATGATGAGTACGCCGATATTACTTTTGTGTACGGGTTGTGTAATGGAAATGCTTGAGCGGCTTCTCGGGAGTATCAACGTACATTTCCCAACAGACGCCAGACGTTCACTTCTATGATTTCGGCAATATGGAATTGCCAAACTTCCCAGGGTTAGAGGTCATGGTGTCCGGCATACCGTTCAAGAGGAACTGGAAGTATTAATTTGGCGTTGGATGATCCTAGTACAAGTAGTAGGCGGATGTTCCCAAAGTCTTGCGTGGGAAATTTTAAATCGGGAAGTTTTACATCCTTACTGTCGGCAAAATGTGCAATGTCTGCAACCCGGCGCCAAAGTGCAACCGCGAAATTTTTGTGAGTGGTTGTGGTCTGATGAATCGCTTTTTACGAGGAGTGGAACCAGTAATTCTCATAATGAACATATTTGGTCGTTAGGAAGTCCCCGTTCTGTAAGAATCCACTCGTTTCAACACAGATTTTCTAGAAATGTCTTTTGCAGCATTTTCAGTGGCCAACTGTGTAGGCACGTATTGCCACAATGTTTAAATGCAAACTCATTCTTAGCTTTTCTAGGAAATTACATAGGAAATGTGTTAGATGATGTTCCGTTAGCAACGAGATTACAAATGTGGTATTAGCACGACAGTGCCCCACCGCATGTTCGTCGTGACATAACCGCATGGTTAAATAATCCTTTTCGACAACGATGGATTGGCAGAAACGGACCCGTACATTGGCCTGCGAAGTCTCCTGATTTGAACCCCCTAGATTTCTTTTTGTGGGGCACTTTTGAACAACTAGTGTATGCTGAACACAGTAATACTGTTGATCAGTTACAAGAAAGAATGGATAATGCGTTTCATCACATTCAAGCCACAACAAATTTTGCGGAAATACGTTTTCCTTTATTAAAAAGATGCGGCACTTGTATCCGTCAAAATGGTGGTCTTTTTGAACATTTATCGGAATAAGGCTTTGTTTATTTTTACGAAAACAATGCACTCTAGGAAAAAACACAAGAGTAAATATTTGTAGCAAATTGAAGGTAAAATTGCAAAAATTGCGCGTTTCCAAAAAAACAGCGGCGTACTATTTTTATTTTAAAGATAATGCCACTAATCCTCTGTATCTCCGCCACTGGTGCACACTAATTTCAAGTAAAGCCTGTTGAAGGTAGGCAATACTTAGGTAAATCCACATACCAAGTTTTAGTTAATTCCACTTGTCGGTTTTGAAGATGTTAAGAAAAGTTGTTATTTATTTTCAAACTTCTTCTTTTTAATGAAGCCTTCGATGAAAAAATGATACATTGAATACCTCCCTTAAGATGCGTTCCTGTGTATGATGTTTCATTTTTGGACACGACTTGTGAATCACCCTGTATAACTACGTGGTGACTCATCATACATTTTTTGAGTGGAAAGCCCTACGTTTGTTTGCATATTTAGATAGGCCCTTTCAAACTAAGCAATTTGATATACCATACCATAGGGTTTTATTTTCAGATTGTTGAAGTATGGGACAGTCTATCGAACAAAAACTGAACTGTAAAACTAGCACCTCCCCAACTGTTATTGCTAGGGTACTAAATTTTATAATCCTATATTTTGGCGCTATCTACTTGTTTTTCAGTTTTTTTTATTGTTTCTACAGGGTTATCAAGAAGCCAAAATTGAGTAGTTTTAAAAATTTTCATATGGAACTCCCTGTATATTTTTACACTCTTCGATTTTTCTTTTCAAAGGTTTTTAAAAAACATCGAGACACCTTTTGATTTTCTGACGTTGCATAAGGCTAGGTAGATTTAGTATATAATGAAAATACGCCAATTCTAACGATCTACCGTTACCAATAAAATGTTTTTTTTAGTTTTGAATGTATTATAATATTGTTCATTTGTCTTGATATCTGATTGACAAACATGTTAGATGTAACCCCAAAAGCCTTCTATCAAAAAAACTTGTGGAAAGGAAAATCAAGGAATGTGAAAATACAGAGGGTGTTCCACCTAAAAACTTTGAGAAATCGTTAATTTTGCGTTCTTGACTACCGTGTACAAACTGTTCAAAATACAGAAGAAGTAAGTGGATCATAGGAACAACATGTGGCATCACAAAATTTCATTCTACTGTTATTTATTATCAAAATCAAGTTTTATCAAAAAAATATACTTGCAGATTCAAGCGACCGGCTCTCTTGCTATTCAGTGTTGAATAAGATTCTAACACCTAAACACGTACAAAAAAAGTAGCGTACAATTTTCAGATTTGATTGGTATAAGAGATCCATTGGACCCATGATCGTGTGCCTTGTGTGTCTGGCAGAAGTAGCACAAAAATACTTAAATCCAACTTTGGTTGTAAAGGTATCATTGAATAAGCGCTTTAGTTCCCATACGGAATATTTATAACCTAATTCTACGATTGCTTGATCTAAATCATATTTCCATGGAACTGTTTTTCCTATATCAAAATTTCTTCTTTTCAGAACATAGATGATTATATCAAATTACGTAAAATGCCTGATTATGGTACTTACATATAATTTCGTCTAGAATATTTTGAATCCCTAGGTATTATGTACCCTGTTTCTTTTATAATACTATATACATATAATGCAAGTTGTTTAAAAATGAATGAAAATAATTAGTGAGTACGTTCACACGGTATTCATTCGTATTACGAGAGACAGTACCAATATTTTGTTGTTTTTACGATGTGTTCGCTGTCTAGAAAAAAAACCGAATATAAATCTGGTGTCCATAGGATCGAACCCATAACTCGATATTCAGAGTGTCCTCAAAGTTAGGACTTTCTTTTAGCAATGTGTACGCCTGTGTCAAAATCATACGCCTTGCAATAATGCAATTGTACAATAAGCACGGGAAAACTCAAAAAGATAAACTTGTGTAGGGCAATAAGCACATCATGGCGTGATCTGAAGCTAGGGCATATATATCGAATTTCTGTTCGAATTTATTCAATTTTATTATGCCCTTAAAAACCAGTACTTCAAATAAACTTATAAATAATTTGTATTGCATCGACTTGAATAAACAAATATGCATCTGTACAAGTTGTAAGTAGGACAAGGCTCTCTGATTCCACTGACGATTTTGTCCCCCACCAGTGAGTCTTCCGGCCCCTCAAAGTTGCAAATAGCTGCCAACACTTCAGCTATAATGTGCTCAAAAAAAAACGATTGACCTTCTTGTGAAAAACTTATATGAGTTTCATAGTCAAACATTTTTTTTTTGGGTTTCTTCACCTCACCCGCTAAGATTAGAAAAATAGCTATCTTGATTTCTTTGGTTTTTCCAGCTAATCCTCTGTTGCCACAAAGAGTAAATCTACGCTCCTTGAGAAGCATCACAAATAACTATAAGCATTCCAAATAAAAACACGATGCTTTTCGGCGGCTTGAACGTGGACTCCATTTTCTTTGGGTTGTATTTCTTGATTATCGGATCAATCCTAGACCGTTTCTTTTTCTTATTAATGTAACTTCCTCGTAACTGGGACCTTGAGTAACCAGGAAACGCAGAATTACGCGACCATGTATGGAGCGTGGTCCCGTTCTGGAGCGTCTGTGACGCCATCGCGAACATTCCACATCTGATGAATCTACTGCCGTCCATCATAGATGACTTCCCTGATGGTCGATCTCGACCGAGAAGACAATTCTGGAAATCATCGGTTGAAGATATAGACGGTGTAAATGTTAAGGTAGTCATTACTGAAATGGGTAATATAGGGGCCAAAACAAGTCAAAAAGTTCATATGACCAATGGTCCAAAAGTCAATAGATTTTTGTCTAAATGGCTTTATACTTCACAACTTCAAGTGCTTTATATCGACCACAATCACCACAATCTTACTAATTTTTATAATCTAATCTAAAACGTTTTTAAATTGGGTAATTAACAAATAAATGGCATTAAGTTTTTCTAAGTCAAGCCAAAATTTGTAGTCAGTAAGTAAGTTAGTTTCATTAAATTAAATATTTAAAACACACATGACAACAGCGCGTCGGTCATTCATCACTCTTATCGGACCGGCAATCGATCGCAAACGGTAACAGTGGTTAGTTATTGTTCGCGTACGTCGTCGTGTTTATTTACAATGTTCTCGAATCAAGAGTTCGTCGACATGTTGTTAGTTTACGGTAAGGCTGGTCAGAATTCAAATCTTGCAGCTCAAATTTATCGCGAAAAATTTCGCCAACGGGTACATCCAGACAGAAGGACATTTGTGCAAGTGTAACAAAGACTTCGAGATACAGGAAGTGTTCAGCCCACTAATATATATTCGGGAATTAGGCCGCATACCATAGTCCATAAAATCCTACGGGAAAATTTGCTTCATCCCTACCATGTACAACGAGTGCAGGCCTTGTTACCAGAAGACTATCCTCGCAGACTAACATTCTGTCAGTGGTTTTTGCATAAAAACATCGAAAATCCGTTTTTTTTAAACATTCTAGCGACGGACGAATGTACTTTTACGCGAGACGGGATGTTAAATTTCCATAATACTCATACGTGGGCCCAAGAAAACCCTCATACCATTCGTGAAGGTAATTTCCAACAACGTTTTAAAATAAATATTCTTGACGATCAGGTAATTGGCCCTTTCGAGTTACCCCCAAAGTTGTCAGAGAGGGATACCTTAGCTTTCTAGCCAATAACCTACCACAACTTTAGACAACACGCCATTACAACGGAGACAGAATTTGTGGTTTCTTCATGACGGGGCACCACCACACATTTTTAGAGGCGTCATTCAGTATTTGAATGAACATTATCCAAATCGCTGGATCGGTCGAAATGCTCCTGATCCTCGAAAATATCCAGAAAGATCTCCTGACCTCAATCCAATGGATTTCTGGTATTGGGGAGAACTTAAAGGGATGGTTTATGGGGCTAGTCCAATAACAACTGAAGCACAACTTCGCAAAAAAATTTTTAATGCGGCTGAAATAAATGGACAACTTCGAGGGTCTAGAGTAAGAAGAAACTGGGTTTGTCGTAATGTAGCTTGTGTGGAAAGTGGAGGAAGACATTTTGAACACCTTCTTTAAATACAAAAAAAGTGCAGTGTATGTTTTAAAAAGAAAAACAATGTATGTATTAAAATTGTGTTCCCTATTTATAAGTGGATTTTTTTAAGACGTTCAATAAACTTTCACACACCAGGTGAAGCGCTGAGACAGTTAGTGGTAAGTCCGTTTATTTTTGATTGTTTGCATTTTACGAGTACATTATCAAATAATGAAATAATACCTAAGAGCCAAAAATATCAAGTTCCATCTTTATTTACAATGCGTTCCGTCGTAACTTGCGTCTGGCATTGCGGCGTTGTCAGATTTTATTTTACTTTAAAGTCGCTTTTCTCTAAAAAAATGCTGTTTTGACCCCCATGTTATATGAAACTTTTTGCTTCTTTTAACGCCCCCTATCACCCATTTAAATCATGACTATGATAACGTTTACACCCTGTATACCAAGCTAATGGCGAAAGCAGTCACCGTGCAGTCACCGTCGAGACAGTCTAAGATGCGGAAGCTATAGTCCAATCGACATGGTTATAAGTTTGTCATAAATTAGTTGCAAGTGTTATAAATTAGTGTTGAGAGTACTAAATTAGACTTTAAACAGTAAAACGATGTTTTCGTTTCATTATAATATCAGAACAGACCTACCAACGTGTTACGTTCTTAATAACATAACAAATATATTAAGCAATTGTAGTCTTCTTCAGCGCCTACCACAGCTTATTATATTTTCAACAGTATTAAAATATATCAGTATCAACAAATTTGGCACCAAAAGTGTTACGGTACAATCGTTCAAATAACACAATTCTATAAATGTACAGTAACCGCCTTAAAACTAAAATATCTTTAAAAGACAATCCGAATTTTCACATTTGCACAGCCGCATTTATCATTCGAGATGTTATTGTGTATCAAAATAAAATAAAAAATTGAAATTCATCAGCATATCGAAGAAATGGGAAGGGAAAGAGAGTAGCGACAGTCCCCGATGTTTTCATCCATATCCATTTCGATTATTTTTATAATTTTGTTAACTATACGGGGTAAAACAGTAGTTATTTCGGAATTCTTCACAAACTTTACCCAGAAAGTTTATATTTGTCCACCAAAGACTCGTCGGCTTAAATACAGATAGTCTTGAGTTGGAGGGTCGCAACATAACGTAATCCAAAATGTCACTCTCGTTTTTCCCATAGAAGTGTTTACTGCTCCAATGGAGCAGTTTAGTGATATTTAGAATCACATAAGTAATGACATTCCAGCAAATTATAGACTAAATATAATCAGCCAGTGGAAAAATTATTGAAATCGGCCAATAAATGACAGAGCAATTGATACTTAAATTTGGCGCATTCTAGCGCGAAATTATTGCTGCCGTTCGTTCGCGTCTGACGTCACACTTCTCTAGTGCCCAGCGTCTCATCGCATAGGTGTTCGACAGCGTCTGTCCGTTTAGTCATTAGTCTATAGACAATTCATAAGCTGGTTTCTGGGCAACCAGTACTGACAGATTCGACTAACGTACATTAGACAGCGACTAATGGGCAAAGGTCCTACGGACCGCACAGACAAACAAATGACGAATAGTAGTAATTCATAAGACACACCTGTGCGCTCGGACACGTGGTTTCCAGTTGATAACTATTGAGTACTGCGTACGTTCATACCATTATGGAAGCCGTAAAAGGGTTAAGTTTCAATTTGCCCAAAATTGACATTTATGCCGTGATGGAATTCATTTCTTCAAATCCATCTTATACAAGTGCGGAAATAAAAGGTGTGAAACTTCAGAATTAAGGATTTATGTCTACTGCTACTGCTACTGCTGCTCAGGTTTTAAACAAATTAGTGTTGATGCTTAGTATGACTACAGATTTGCGAATATGATACGATACTTTTCTAGAATCTTATTAAAGCATATAATAACATTGTACATGTACACAGTAAAGAGTCAACTTTCTTGACGCCTCTTTAGGGAGGTAAGTGACACTATAGTAGCTCACAGCTATTCTCGCTGAGTTGAAATAAGTGACCTGCAATATTAGTTGATAAATATTTCCCCTCCAAATACCGCAAGTACAGTGAATTGGCCTTGGAAATCATATAATAACTAATAATCATAAATAAATAGTAAAATGATGTACTCACATCAAACTGGTCCTCACAGATATATGTTGTTTTTTTGGTCTAATCAAATCACGCTTCGTAAGTTTGCACCATTTCTTCATTATATTTTCATGTGAATGTACGTAGAAAAAATATTTATTAGAGGTTTTGATTGTTGTGCTCGTATATTTTGGAACGGTACAGAATTTATAACAACCTTTTTTTCTTATTTCGCTCATAACCGATCGTATATGTCAACTAATTAAACAAATTGGGGTGGAAGACGTCTAGCCTACATACGTCCTGCTGTATGTGTGCCTTTGCACGTGTTTAGGGGGATATTGAGTCGGCTCGGGCCCAGGAATCGTCCGCGGGCGTTGCAACTGGATACTGAGGTGTGACGTCACGCGTAGCGTACTGATGGAATAAAAATATTCTCGCGGGGCGCAACTTTGATAGGCTGTAACTTTTTTGTTTTTAGAGATAAATTAATAATTTTTTCACCATATTGTTTCATTTTTCCTAAGCTTTCATTTGAGCTAATATCAAAAAATGGCAACCTTGTCCATTGGATAATATCATTGAATAACATATTCTACCTGAAGATAGTTAACCATGTATTATTCCGGCGCTCAATAATGGATCTGAAAGATCCTATTGTCGTCTAAGAGACAGTAGCAGAATACAAAAATAAATTTAGAAATCTACTTTGAAAAGAGAGTGTTGATTCTGCTACTCTCTCATAGATGCTAATAGAATCTTTAATCACTTTTTGGCGCCTTTAATATTTCTCTTCAGGTGAAATGCGTTGGTAAACGGTTGAAGATGTACAATTAGTATTTCTGAAAAATTGTTGGTTTTATTCAGAAACAACATCCCGAAAGACCTATTGCGATACCCCGTACGTACGAATAATGTCGAGTCAGAAGAAAATATAATATTGGTGGATTTGTCAACATCACGAGATTTTAAATATAATCACCACCTCCCTCGCAATTTAAAACATCTCTACCCCTACTTACAGTTTATATTTTGTAAATGTCACATGAATTTCCAGCCAGTTAGTTCCAAAATTCACCATTTTCAGTCAGGTACTTTTAATTTCTTCGGATTCTTGGAAGATATAGGTGTTAAAAAGTGTCCTTTTTTAAGTTGACAACGTTTAGGCATTTCTTCAATGTTATAAAACCATTTGTAAAATTTCATAATCGTAAAATAAGTATTGAATGGAAAAGTTCATTTAAAAATATTGACCAAGAAAATACACGAAGACTTAAAGAGCCACAGAACGCGTATACATATTAAGAAGTTTTTATATGATTTCAACAATTTATAAAAGATAATTTGAAATACAATATAGATACATATTGAAGGAAAAACGGTTAAAAAAATAACAATTATATAAAAATATATAAACTAGCATAGAAGCCTTGCCTATCGAACGAGTCACAAAACACGTCTCAAAAACAAATTTATATAGCATAAAAAAACAAATACAACGTGACGCTAGGACAGACTATATCACCTCATTGTGTTTATTTTTTCATGTTATATCCATTTATTTGTTTTTCATAGCTGACCTGAGGGATGTTTGGCATCTCTTGAGACGTGTTTTGTGTCTCATTCGATAGGTAAAGCTGCACTGATTTTTTTATATGTGCCCATGTTATTTTGTCATTATTTTTCTATTCCGTTTTTTCTTCAATACCTATGTATCTATATAATTGTCCATTTTTTTTTAAATTGTTGAGATTTCTAAAACCATAGGATAACTCCTTAACATGTACATACGTTTATTGCCATTGCCTTTATGTGCTTTTGTTCTGTGCTTTTTTATATCTTTATGTATTTCCTTGGTCAATATTTTTAACTGAACTTCCTCAGTCAATGCCTAATTTACGATTATGAAATTACATAAACGTTTTCTTTTTTCTAACTTTTTTAGCCCCGGAGAAGGCAAAAAATAAACGCCAGAACGTTGGAAATTCGGAAAAGGACACTTTTAACACTAGGAACCCGGAGAAATTAAAAGTACATATCAGACACTGGGATAAAAACTTATTTCCTTTTGTATCACATTTTCAGTCATTGACCAACCGCCATTAGCAATGGCACTCTGAAGAGAATGCTTCAGACAATGGCATGGACCACTCAGTACTTGGAATACTTCCGCTTAGATACCCGTCTCTATTCTTAAACTGCTGCTTAAGTCAATCTGGGAATATTGCTTGATCATCCCGCACCTCCATTGTCCTTTGTTGAAAAAATGCACCATTTCCTCATTTGTGTTCCCTGGATGCAAGGATATACTGGTCTCTTTGGTTGTATTACGACTCAAGGTTGTTCGACGTCTTTTTTTCTTCTTCATTCCGCATATCACCTATAAGAAAAGGAAGATTAATTGCAATGACCATAATTTTTATAATCATCCGAAGAAAAACACCCAAGTCTGCCATTTTTCAATGAAAATTACTTTGCTATATATGAGTCGTGGAGCTGTGCCACGACTTAGGCGTATCCCTCCCTCCACTCTTCAGTTGTCGCAATGAATCAAGGATAATCCTCCTATATAGTGCCATGACTTACAGTGTTTTCAGAATGAGGGAGGCTAAAACTTTTCATAACAATATTTAAGGATTTTACCTCTAATATTTAAACCTAACTTCGAAGTTGAGTCATTTATTTTAACAGTGAGTAGATCTGATCAAAAGAAATGTTTTTTTCCTTTAACATTTTTCTGGTAAAATTAAAGTAACAAAGTTATAGCCCTTTAGAAGTTTGAGTACCGCCCTGTCTCAATAATAATATTATGTGCTCGTGTTTGGCAACAACGGATATAATCCGCCTTATCCGTTCATCGCATCGGAAACAAAAAAGCGAAAGAATTTGACACGATGTTTTTACTACAATGTACAATTTTATTCAGTTGTATTCAGTCGATGTGTCAGTCGGTAACGCGTGAGTGAATAGTGGTGTTTGTTGCGTGGCTCAAACGGAATAAAAAATGGCACATGTTTACGAAAATGCTGAATGTAGTACAAAGGGCTCGTGTATCAGGTGACTTAAGACCTCACAGGGGAGAGCATGCCGGTGCTCCAAGACCGCACGATCAAATACAGGTCCGCACTGAAATACTTGTCGGGTGGATACTTTATAAAACAAGGTAACATTTTTTTTTAATTTTTTATTTTATTTTTACACACATATTTTGGTTTATCTTCCTTCTACAATCATTATCTGAAAATTAATGACTCAACTTCAAAGTATATATCCAAACCAAGTGATCTGACCAAAGTTCCTTAAGAGCCAAAATTTATGGAAAATTTAATGGTATTTGATAAAATGCACTTCTTTTCTCCGAAAGGGCCAGTGGCGTAGAAAATATCCCCTCCTAGGGTATCTTTCGAATTTCGAAAATAAAACTTCGTCACTAGGGCAGCATCTTTGGACGTATATTTGTGGCGACTTTTTTTGTTATTTTTGGATGTACTTTCTGCACTAGAAGTATTGCCACACCCTGTATAAGATTTCACTCTTCTCCGAAGATTCTGTTTTTTTCGCTTTTTTAAATTATTATTAGATCTACTATACCTCTTTGAAGGCGTTCCTCATTCTGTCGGACATCACGTTGTACAGTATAGGGTTTAGAGTTGATGAGAAGTAATAGAAGACTCCTGAAGAAATATACATCCAGTAGTTAATTTCATCGAAGAATTCGTAGTCCTTCAGATACACAGACAGGAGCCTTTGAGCATGGAAAGGGCACCAACAGGCGAAGAACCCCAACACCACAAATGCTGTGAGGAAAAGTTTTTGTTAGTCGTAAACCAGGCCTAAATTTTGTGTGAATATAGTTAAAATACCTAAGGTGACTTTGCATCTAATCTATTGGATGTACAATAACTTTCAGATCAGACAATAGCTACTTAGAGGATGCTTGAGATATTCTAAGATCTTTCTGTTGATGCACATCCCACTGTTAGGACCGATTACGCTGAGTGTCTGCGGGCTCTCAATTTATATGATAGTCTTATTTCAAGGTCAATGGTACTGAAGAGCTATTGCATTTATTTAGATAGTGTATTAATATCGCGTTTAAACTATCATTTTTTTTTAATTTGTTGTAACTCGTCGAAATAATGGCATCAGGCACATTTTCATTTTCCTGGAAAATCGGGAGATCCCGAAAAGCTTTACACGATGTATTCTTCAAAATTAAATTACTATAAAATAATAGTAAATTAACAATAAATCATTTACTTTTACTCTCACTCTGATAAAATAGTTAGTATTTTACAATAAAATTGTTTAAACAATTCATAATTCAGTTAATTGGTATACTCTTAACAAAATACACTCTAATAAATTGTAAAAAACAATGATTCACGTTTGTCTTTCATTTATATTCTGTTTATTTTCACTCTTTGTGCTATAATAACATTATATAATGTATTTTTATTATATTTTATTAATTAATTAATCTGGACCCTCCGTTCTAAATCTTTTATTTGACCGCTCTACTTCTTCTCCAATATTTGTATAGCTCATTTCTTAAAAAAAGTCGTCGATTTTCCCAGTCTGCTCTTCATCATCGTCAATTCCAATTACAACAAGGTTGTACCATTTTGTGTTATCATCACAATCATATGGATTCAAAGAATATATATCTTGGCTCCTATTGGCCGTAGAAGAGTTTTTAAAAAAGAAATATGCGTTTTTAACCATTTATCCAGAGCAACTTGTTAAAACAAATTATACTGAACAATAACGATGTTATTGTAAATGTTTATAACTACAAAAATGACTGTTTTTTAACATTATTTTAAACAACAATTTTATAATAAATAATAAATTTATACATAAATTCTTGAACTTAACCTCCCTTGGATAGGATCAGTTGTTTCAATAATTCATCTCTGGGATAAACAATTAGCTTTTCACATAAACTATTAAGCCGATCCGGCTGAAATTTGGCTCACTTGATAAGATCAATGATGTTCTCATTTTTAGCAATTTACAATTGTTATTGCAATACTTATAAACATTTATTCGATATTGCTAAGAAGTATTTAATTTCGTTTCAATTCTTAAAAACAGAACTGAAGATCTTTTCACGCTCTAAGTTCTCCAGCTTACTGATTATTTATGAAATTAAATTTGAAAATCATACAAGCAAAATACTGAATTTTGGGCTTTTTCCATTGTTTATAAAAAAACAACGCATATCTGGTTGTATCTTTTTATGTATTTGTCATTAGAAGCACAGACGTTTAACACTTTTAGATATCTGCTAAACTTTTTTCCACCTTTTTTTTATCTAGCCTGGAATATTTGGTACAAACGCGGATATGTGTTCAAAATACACTATTTGACGTAACCACCAAGAACAGTGGAAAATCGCTCTCAGTAACGCTGTGCTTCCAAGAATTCAATTTGCATCGAAGTTGCTGTAAAAGACGAACGTTAGTTAATTTTCAGAGTTTGAAATTATGACTTGTGTAACTGACTAATTAATTACAAAAGTTTGTAATCTCGATTTCGGATCTGCATTGCTAGGCTGCTCTATGTAGGCGAATTGGAGCTGTAGCAAGTAGCTTCTCAAACCTCAAGCCGGTAGGAGAATCTGTGAAAGTTATTTCCTTACATGAAGCCCTACGTTTGCCGGCATGACTTCGATTGCTTTTGTAGTAGAATCAGCAGATATACGGGAGATTTTCATCAAGCGGCTCAGATTATTTAAAAATAAATAATCGTTGATGTTAGTTTCAAAGTACCACACTATAGAAGGTATCATTTCAATTTCAGTTGAAAGATTCTGCATTCAAATAAGTTGAGGTAGATTTATTTTAGTTTTAGTAGCAATTGAGAAGATACCTAGGTGACCGTCTTAGAATGGAAGTTTTTTACCGAAGAATCCGTGCAGACCGGGTCATCGCGGCTGCTTCAACGAGCTTGAAGACACATTGTTAATCCGATTATTGAACTGCCTGAGGTTAGTAGAACCGGGAACAACCCTCCTTGGGTAGATTGTTTCACAACTTCGAGACGCTAGGGACAAATAAGCGGTCGTACTGGCCAGATATACGAAGTTTGACAGTATTAAGATGGAAGACCAAAGTCAGCAAACTCTATTGACATAGCGGTAGAAGAGAGCCAAATCCCCGATTGACTGTGGGTGCGGAAGGGTCCCGAGACTCTCCGTTAGAGGAGATAATGTAGTCGGGGCGGCAGCACCTCAAACATGTGAGCAGTATTGGAGGCTCGATGTACAGCGTGAAGAAGTTATGTGAAGAAAAGTATTTTTTAGCCCTAAACAAATAGTTTAGCTTTTTCCCAGCAGCTGCCGCGATTGACGGGATGTGTTCGTGCCAGATCAAGTCCTCGGTGATCTGGACTCCGACTAGCAGAGATGAACGAGTCTTTGGTAAAACTCGGCCATCCATCGAAACCTGATGAGCGCTAGGGCGCTTCTCGTTAGTCAAGGTACATTACTGTGTTTTGGAAGCTATTAACTGTTCCAGATTGTTGCATCCCCAATCAGAGATAACCTCCAAATCTCTCGTTAGAGATTTAGTCCTCTTCTCTCCAGCTCACCGGTAGAGATCGGCTTGGCTCTCTGAACTTCTGCCTGTCCCCAATAGCATTAAATATTTATCAAATATTTTATAAAAATATCGCAAAAATATATGAGTAAGGGTTTTTAAATATCATTTTTATATATTGATTAAATATCTAATATTTTTCGTAAATATGAGTGGATTTTCAAGCATTAATCTGATACATATTTTCAGTGTAGGTATATAGAAAATTCTTCATCGGCTATTTTAGCAAAATCTGTAGGAATGCTTTTATAAAATTGGGTTTATAAAGTAAATTCATTCTAAAGGGTGCGTCAAAATAAGTATGGGAAAAATATTTTATTATATCAAAATACATTTTTTTGAGTAAAACAAAATTTACGTTATAAATACTATGTCGGTCATATGGCGCCCTTGAGCCAAAATGAGCCCGTCGGCCAGCATCCGTGCAGGAATTTGGGTTACTTCTCTTCTTATTTCCTCCTTCAAATCGACGAGGGTCCGAAGCATGCTTTGGTAAACTTTTGATTTCAGGTTGCCCCATAAAAAAATCACACGTTGACAGGTCCGGGGAGCGAGGGGGCCATGAAGTTCCATCGAAGTGCGAGCTGTGTGAGACGGAGACGGGCATGTTCAGCATGTGGATGTAACGCTCTGAAGTCACAGTAGTTGTTTCTCCATCATCCTCAAAAAAATAACGGCCAATAATCATCGTTGGGCCTACTGCACACCAAACTGTAACTTTCGGGGATGCAGGGGTGCTCATGCGACTGTTGGGGATTCACTGGAGACCAATATCGACAATTTTTTTTATTGACGTATCCGTGTAAATGAAAATGTGCTTCATCACTCATAAACAACGTCATGTCATTGTTATCCAACTGTTCAATCATGAGCTGTGCAAAATTAACACGTTGTGCATAATCCCCTGGCAACAGTTGTTGACAAACTTGGATTTTGTAAGGATGGAACACTAAATCCTTCTCAAAGATGCGATGTACAGAGGACGCGTGGATCCCTAGGGAACTGACACGCAAACGGACGGAACGATTCGGACTTTGCTGTGTGTCAACTCTCACTCTGTCTATGTTTTCGGGGGTTTTAACAGTACGGTTCGTCCTGGCGGATTTTTCATCACATGACCTCTTGTGTTGAATGCTTCCACCCATCTCAAAATGGTGTTAAGTCTGGTACTGTCCCACGACATGGCACACGAAAGCGAACGCGAAACTCACGTTGCGTTCGCCGTTTTGAAAGTACCGACGTACAGTGAACACACGATACTCAACGTTCCAAACCATCATGCCAAGTGAAACGGCACTACTCCTACTATCCAACACGCCCTTCCCCACCGACACGGGACCAGCCCGATTCGAAAAACATGCGTTCTTTCAGACGGACCCTGTAGATATTAGTTTAATTTGCTAGAAAAATATGATTAAAAAAAATTCTAAGCCTCATCTGCATCTTGCAAATCCACTCCTCTGAAAAGAAAACAAACCTACTAATTATGAAGTACTATTGAATATAGTCAACGCCAAACAAAGTGGCGTGCACGTCATCACGATAAAAATTCCCCGACCTAATGCCTAGGTTTCTATCACAAACAATTGCTCTATTGCAGTTTCATATTAATGTGATATATAAATTGTAAAATGGTCATTACTCTCTTATTATGGTTAATAGTCATATAAACATTGTTAAAATATCACATAAGTTGCTTTCTGATAAATTTAGACGCATTATGCGAAATAAAATGTTTTGCAAACGCTCCAATCACTTATCGACATGTAAACGCACTAAACCGATTTCGCAGCGTTGACACATTGTCACCTTGAAACTTATTTAAACTGGGAACTGACATTTGTATTAATTTTGACACTGAATCAATTTGTGGCATTTCAAATCTTTATAAATCCTTTGGCCCCGCATACTGTAAATCAACAACTGTTTGTTTCAAAACAAAATTATTCATTTTACGAGTAGATAAAGGCAATTTTGGTATATAAAGATGCCCAAACAGTTAAATAGTCGGTGTAAGGAACTCGTGGCCTCGTTAATGCACTACTTTGAGCAAGAAAGGGACAACAACGGGCCTTTGTTGCCTTTAAATGCTGTTCAAGAGGTAGGTTACTAATAATTATATGTAATGTATATTAATAATAGTGAAATTTTATTTCATTTTTTGTAGCGTGTTGCTGCTGCTTTAAAAATTAGTT